AGGCATCACGGAAACTGTCAACGACACGGAGCTACCCCACTTTATTAGGCGCCTCCTGTCGGAGATCCTGCACCCCAAACAGGCGAAGAACCTGCAACTAGATGGGATACTCAGACTCCCCAAGTGATCCGGCGGACGCTCCCCGCGATGTCCTCCTGAGGTTCCAGTCCCTACGCGACAAACAAGCAATGATGGACGCCATCAAGAACAAGAGCCCGCTCAAATTTGAGGGCTCCCAACTAACCTTTCTCCAGGATCTCTGCAGGGCAATGTTGGAGTGGAGACGTTCTATCAGCCAGGTCACCAAGACCCTCCGAGAAGCAGGCGTCCGGTACAGATGGGGCCCTTCCCACACACTCGTGGCCACACAGGGCGAGACCACCCGCCGACTCACCTCAGCTGCTGACTCCGACCCATTCCTCCACAGCCTGGGGCTCAACCGGCACAAGCCCGACACTGCCAAACCTGAACATTCCTGGGACATATCCAACATAGTCCCCTTTGTACCTCGCAACGAAGCCGCACAGGATGAGAAGCCCCAACTGGACCCGGGCTCAACATACCCCTCAAGTAGAGGGAAGTGCCGAAGGACTGGCAGGCGATCATAACTCTTAATGTTGGCATAGTCATAAAGTTTAAATTTTATTTAGGCATGTTTAGTCAAAGCCATCCGGCTACTATAACCTACTGATGTCTCCACACCACTTCTTGCAAGACACACAACCCGACTACCCCCCTCTCACCAACTCAGGGGCCCTAGAGCAATTCCCTAGCTACTCTACCCAAACGGGAACGATGAACCAGCTTCCAAATCCAAGCAGAACACCCCCCTCCACAGCGCTACCTATAGTCACAGCATACGAACCAGCATGCAGCCTCACCAAGTATCCCCCCATATTCTCGGGCGCACCAGACACCCAAGCACTCCAACAGTTACCTCAATCTCGGCCCACCCCGGTATACGAAGGATCTAGCCCATCATGATGGAGCCACAAAGCCAGATCGCCACTACACCCAAACACCTATAACACAACGCTGCTATCACAGCACACAAAGAGGGCTACTCTCTAGGCGACACACTCAAAAGCTGTGACAACCTACCTGCTGGAGTACTGGCCCAGTAGAACCTTATGCCTGCAGTAGCCCGCACCCTGGGATAATTAACTAGCGAGCTAACTCCCTGCCCCCCCGCCACACTGACCGGCCATATACTTATATATTGTGCCTCAGTGGTATACCGAATATGTATCCTTAACTCCACATGATAGGGCTAGGAACGCACCGCGAAACGCACGGTGAACAAACTAAATCCAACCTATCTAAGAGACAAGACGGATAGCCTGCTCACTTACACATTGGACCACCCACCTCAAAACCACAATACACTTATATTACAGTCAGTGTGGACTAACAACAGGGCATAGCTGAGCAAATTACAATTACACCACATATTCTAGCGACTGTAGGCCTAGACTGTTTTTTCTTGTTCTGCAATGTAGTAATTTTAACAAAAATGTGCAGTAATATCACGTGCCATTCATCTGTATATTAATGTCTTAATCTGTTTGCCCAAGCTGTTGTGGCACGGCAAGCCTGATTGTCATGCACAATTAAAATAAAGAATTAAAAAAAAAAAAAGATATCCAGGTATAAATGTTATGACATAATTAAAACGTGACAGGAATAAGTAACAATGTCTAGAAGACAAACGTTTAGCTTCAGCTATGTACGATAACATTTTCGTGATCTGTTATCACTAATATAAGGTGCTTAGATCCTTCCAAATAGTGTCTCCATTTCTTAAACTCTAAAACTATAGCTAGAAGCTCCCTATTCCATATATCATAATTCCTTTCTGAATCTGTCAATTTTCTGGAATAAAAGCAACATAGGTGTAAGGTTTTTTCTGGTGTCTTTCTTTGAGGCAAGACAGCTCCTACTCCGAATTCAGAGATATCCACCTCTAAGACAAATGGTAATGCAATGTAAGGGTATACCAAAATAGGTTCTGTAGAAAATGCAGTTTTAAGAGACTTAAAAGCTTCTAAAGTCTCTGGTTTCCATTTGTGAGGGTTGATACCTTTTTTTTCATTTGTCAGGAGTGATCACAGTAGTCCCTGTGGAAAAAGCCATGAGTGTATTGCCTCCCATTTACTAGAATCCATACTAAACCCAATCCCAATATAACATACCCCAGGAATTGAACAGTCTTTTAATCAGAGAGGCATTTACAGAATAACTTACATAATAGGCCATTTTTGAGTAATTTTGTAAATACCATCCTGACAAGTTGGTGATTATTATTATTATTATGTTATTATTTATATAGCGCCAACAAATTCCGCAGCGCTTTACAGTGGGTGGACGAACAGACATGTTGTTACCAGACAAGTTGGACACAGAGGAACAGAGGGGTTGAGGGCCCTGCTCAATGAGCTTACATGCTAGAGGGAGTGGGGTAAAGTGACACAAAAGGTAAGGATAGTATTAGACTAATGACAGTTGCAAAAGAGGAATCAGTAGGGAGCTATTAACAATTTAATTGAAACGCTTTTATGAAGAAGTGGGTTTTTAATGATTTTTTGAAGGAGTGGAGACTGGGTGAGCATCTAACGGAGGAGGGAAGTGAGCTCCACAGGAATGGTGCAGCCCTCGAGAAGTCTTGAAGGTGAGCATCAGAGGTGGGAGTATGGACAGACGATAGACGTCAGTCTTCAGCAGAGCGTAAGGGCCTAGCCGGGACATATTTGTGTATTAGGGAGGATAGATAGGTGGGAGCAGCATTATGTAGAGATTTGAAAGCAAGAACCAGAATTTTAAATTGAGCCCTATATCTTACAGGAAGTCAATGTAGGGACTGACAGAAGGGTGAGGCGTGGGCAGTGCGGGTGATGAGAGTAGAAGTCTGAGGAATCAATCAGAATATCATCCAGATATACTACGGCACAAATGGGTAAATTTTCCCGTAGTACATCATTTATAAGATCCAGGAAGGCTGTCGGAGTATTGCAGAGTCCAAAAGACATAACCAATTATTCATAATGCCCACTATGAGTATTAAAGCCAGTCTTACCTTCATCTCCCTCTCTTACCCTTGTCAGATTATAAGCACCTCTAAAATCAAGTTTTGTGAAAAACTTTGAACCCATTGTGCAGTCAAATAATTTTGTTATTAGAGTAATAGGATAGGTGTTACAAACAGTAATACTGTTTAAACCCTTGTAGTTTATACATGACCTCAAATTCCCCTGTTTTTTCCACACAACAAATAAGAATCCTGCTACGGCTGGAGATGAGGATCTTCTAATGAAACCCTTAGCCAGTGACCCCTGTACATGCTCCTCTATAATAACATTCTTTTTTTCTGAGAGTGGATAGACTCTACCTATAGGTGGCATAATACTAGCAAGTAAGTATATCGTACAGTCATAAGAATGATGTGGAGGTGACCTTTCAGCCACTTTCTTTTCAAACCCTTCCCTTACATCAGAATATTGCAGTGGTTTGGAAATAGACAAAGGATCTGCTGTTGGTGCATTTGGGAGTAAAATTGTATCATACCCCTGACACTCCACAGCACATTTGGACTCCAACAAAAAGATTGGCAGAGGAAAAAAGCATTCATCTGCACTATCCCACTTGGCTGTGCTACTGTAACATTGGTATGACTGCACATGGTGGTGACTCTCCAGACAGCTGCCTAATTGTTTCATTACTACAAACCAGCCTGATTATCAGTCCATATCATCTGCTACGAAGATGTCTGTTAAAAACCTGTATTCCTAACACTATAGTGTCCATATCTATTTAGTTTCCTCCATTTGGTATTAAATTAATAAAATGAAGGTTTTATTATTATTATTATTATATTTATATAGCGCCATCAAATTCTGCAGCGCTTTACAATGGGTGGGTGAACAGACATGTAGTTGTAACCAGACAAGTTGGACACACAGGAACAGAGGGGTTGAGGGCCCTGCTCAATGAGCTTACATGCTAGAGGGAGTGGGGTAAAATGACACAAAAAGGTAAGGATAGTATTAGACTAGTGACAGTTGCAGAAGAGGAATCAGTCAGGAGCTATTAACAGTTTAATTGATAGCTTTTATGAAGAAGTGGGTTTTTAACGATTTTTTGAAGGAGTGGAGACTGGGTGAGCATCTAACGGAGGAGGGAAGCGAGTTCCACAGGAACGGAGCAGCCCTCGAGAAATCTTGAAGGCGAGCATCAGAGGTGGGAGTACGGACAGAAGATAGGCGTAAGTCTTCAGCAGATCGTAAGGGCCTAGACGGGACATACTTGTGTATAAGGGAGGATAGATAGGTGGGAGCAGCATTATGTAGTGATTTGAAAGCAAGAACCAGAATTTTAAATTGAGCTATATATTTTATAGGAAGCCAATGTAGGGACTGACAGAAGGGTGAAGCATGGGAGGTGCGGGCGGACAGGAAGATGATTCTCGCTGCCGCATTCATTATGGACTGTAACGGCGCAAGTTGGGAGCATGTAAGACCACTGAGAAGCGAATTACAGTAGTCAAGGTGAGAAAGGACAGTGGAATGGACCAACACCTTAGTCGCATCTGGCATTAAGTAAGGGCAGATGCGCGCAATGTTTTTGAGATGGAAATGACAGGATTTGGCGATAGATTGAACATGAGGCTTGAAGGAGAGGTCGGAGTCAAAGAGAACACCTAGGCAGCGAGCCTGCGTGGTGGAGCTGATGGTAGCACCGTTGACTTGGAGGAGACAGACACAGGAGTAACAACACTTGAGGGAGGAAAGACCAGAATTTCAGTTTTGGTCAAGTTTAGTTTAAGGAAGTGGGCAGCCATCCAGTTAGAAATAGCAGAGAGGCAGTCAGAGACACTAGTCAAGAGGGACGGGGAGAGATCAGGAGAGGACAGGTAGAGTTGCGTGTCATTTTGCATAGAAATGATATTGGAAGCCAAAGGAGCTAATGAGTTTACCAAGGGAGGCAGTATAGATGGAGAACAGTTTTACTTACATTTTTCCAGTGCAGAGGCTCCCTCGGTTCAGCTTACCTCTCTGACTCCCGGGATGTCATTGAGGAGGCATAGCCTCCTCCGGTGATGGTTCAATCTTCTCATAGACCTGATGCACATGCTCTGCAAGCACCCAGCTACTTTCCTATGAGCAATGAGCTGCTTTTCCATGAGTTTCTTTGTTAGTGCAGCAAGCACCCAGCTACTTTCCTATGAGCAATGAGCTGCTTTTCCATGAGTTTCTTTGTTAGTGCAGCAGAAGCCCCTCTTGTGGCTGTCAGGGAGACAGCCACTAGCGGTGTGTTTAACCCTGTAATGTGAATATTGCAGTTTCTACATAACTGCAATGCTTTTACATTATAGGATTAAAATGGCTTGATCACTGCATCCAGACCACTTCCTTGAGATAAAGTAGTGTGGTTAACTAGTGTCCATTTAATATTAATGGCACTATAATGTCATCCAAACATAGACTTTGTCAGAAAATAAAAACCAAAAGACTCATCCGTATAATAAGATGTGATATTTTACTGTAACCATTTGGAAGTGAATCTTTTTGAAAGTGAATATGCATGCACCCAACACTCCAGCTTCGGCTGTGTAAATTTCAAGCCAGCAATTTGGCTTTTTTTCCAGTTCTTCAGCATGGGTTAACTGGGAAGGAGTCACACATATGGTAAAAACAAATAATACTACTGCCTGGGAGTGGGACAAAGAGTGCGCTGTTCATCTCTCCATATGTTCACAAACAAAGCACACATGCTGTCTACATTATCTGCATAAGGCTTGTACTCGTCTCCTTTACTGCACATGTGTGCTTTGCTTTAGATTTCACATAAATCTATGTGCAGTTTTATCATTTCTCCTGTTAAAGCTCCCCTCACAGGACCTTTGTTTTAGAGTGTTCATCTGATCTCTCAGAGTCCTTATGTACTCGTATTTTTTACACAACTCTCCCTGGTTGCTTGTGATCTGAAATTATAAGTACTCTAGTGATTCATTTATGGTCTGTGGTGTCGGCAAAGTGGCTGGTATTTGACACCCTTTGAAAGAGCGCTTGTGTGCAGAAAATGGGATGCAAGCTGGGTGCTGGCTGGTCTGGCAGAATTTTGTGTAATTTTGTGTACATTTTGTGTACTTTCACTGCTATCTCTCTCCTGCTTTTCATCTTTTGTGCCTGGCACCAACAGGAGCCTTTAGGTCTCCCAAAGGTGAGTGATATCTTGGGCTTTATTTCATCCTTCCTGTCACTAGTCCACAGCATTCCTGACTATTCTATAATTGCTGGTATTGCCCTTTTTAGACACTAATCGCTTTGGTTTTTTCGTATGCTTTATTTGCAGGGTGACTATGAGAGCAGCATTGCTACCAGATGGAAAAGATATACTATAAACCCGCTAGGGTACAAGTGGGACCATTTAAACCTGACGTACAAGTGAGTCTTTAAATTTATTATTTAATTGACAATATTGCATGACGTAGAAAGAACAAAACAAATAATTGTAGAATTTAAATGGGCACTCAGACCACTTCAGCTCATTGAAGTTGTCTGGGTGCAGTGTCCCTAGAGAAACTGCAACGTCTACATTGCAGTGTTAAGACTGCCTCTTGTGGCTGTCTACCTAAATTAACCACTAGGTGACCAAGCCAGCTGCCTGGTGGCCCCCTGTCTTGGCCTGACGCTCTGGCTCTCGTCAGGCCAAGACAGGAGTCCTTGAGCCGGCAGGGAGGTCAAAAGATTTCCGTGCTTGCCTCTGTGCCACCTTACTTTGTTGAGGGAGCGTTGTGGTCTCTATCAATATCAGGTACAGACCGCTTTAAGAGCGCTGTGGTGCGCTGAGTCATATACTGAGTCCTAGAATTACAAGGGAGTTTTTTTTTTAAATACTTTATTTTTCCATCTTGACAGAGTTGGCGTGAGCCATATAAACGGTTCGGCTTACGCAGAAGCCTGTTGATCCACATTATAAGTGTACATAATTATGCATATACATACAATTAATATTGCTAAGCAGAACCAACAACCTTCGTGGCATTAGGTTCGTTTGGCCACCTGTCAAGGGATTTTGGTTATATAAGAAAACTTGTTTTATAACTGAAGCACTTGACATGCTCACAATACCTGGTGCGCAGTACTGCATGAAAGCCATACCAGCACCTCGCACCTGGGCTATTGTTTACCTTACCAGTGTTGTCGTTGGTCATAAGGTATCCATAGTTGTCAAGTTACCAACCTTTGTATGTTTGTTTAAGAATAACAAAAACTAAAAAGTCTGTAAAACTTCCGTAAAACTTGTGTAACCTTCTACCTTAACTTTGCTTATGGTGGCTCCTGTAGCATACTAAATCTCTGTTAATGGTAGGGTGGAAGAAAGAGGTGGAGATAGAAAGAAGAGAGTATAGAGAGTTTCCCATCAGGCCATGGGGGCGGCGGTGACCATCCGTTTGGTGTTAAGCGGCCCCTCGTGAGAGAGGCCTTGATAGGGGGCAATTCCAGGGGGGGTGGGGGGAATTTCTCACTTGGTACTTATGTCCGCTCATGCTAAGTCGCTAGCTGTCCAGGGTTCCCATAATTTATCAAATCGAGTCATGGACCCTCGTACTCTGGCTGTCAGACTGTCCATAAGGTATACGTCTTTTATGTTTGCTATGACTGCCTTCATAGGGGGTACTTCTACTTTCAGCCACGTTTGGGCTAGTGCTCTCCTGGCTGCTAGTGTCACTTTGTGTATTAGCTTTTGTTCCCTCTTTGTCCAGTTCTCTAAGGACCTGTTAAGTAGGTACGTCCATGGGTTTAAATCTGGGGCTCTATGGAATATACGTGTCATTAGTCGATGTATCTGTGACCAAAAGGCTTTTACTCGCGGGCACTCCCACCACATGTGGAGGTAAGTGCCTTTGAGGCCGCAGCCTCTCCAACAGTCGTCTGTAGGTGTCTTCCCTATTTGTCGTAATTTCACAGGTGTAGTGTACCACCTAAACATTGTTTTATAGGCCTGTTCCTGGAGAGACACACATATGGATACAGCATTGTTCGCTTCCCAAATCTCTCTCCATTCCACCCCCTCTAGTTCCTCCCCTAGTTCCTGTTCCCATGTGCTGGTGTATGTGAGCGAGCCCCATTCCACTGATTCTGAGCATATGTGTGCGTATATTTTCGAGATGAGGCCTGGCAGTGGTGATTCATTTAGGCACATCTTTTCGAAAAAGGACATATGCCCTGTGGCCGCGTTTTGTATGAGTGGGCATTTCACGTAGTCTTTAAGTTGCAGGTAGCGGAAGAAGTCAGCGGGGGTGAGATGTGTCGTCTGTTTTAGGTGTTCAAAGGTAACTAATGAGTCGTTCGGAAACATATGGCATATCCTTTGTAGCCCTGTTTTCTCTAGGTTGGCAAAGTCTCTCGCTGTCAGCCCTGGCGGGAAAGCCCTGTTCCGTAGCAGTGGGGTTAGTGGGGATGGGGTGGATATCAGTCTAAATTTGCGAGCCACGGCATCCCATAATCGTATAGAATTCAGGATTGCCGGGCAGGTCGTGCGCAGGATAGGTCTATCCTCTCTCGGGGTCCATATGTGGAATTGGGGCAGATCTGCTCCCATCATTAATGACTCCAAATCCGCCCATCTCCTTTCCTCTGGAGGGGTGTGCCACATTGCCACTTGTGCGAGTTGGGCCACCAAGTAGTAGGAGTACAGGTGTGGTAGGCCTAGCCCACCCCCTTGTTTCTGTCTGTATAGAATGTTTCTTGAAATTCTGTGACGTTTATTTTGCCAGATAAAGTTTCCTATCGCTTGTTGTAACGGGGCTAGGTGTCATTTAGTGAGTTTGATGGGCAGTGCTTGAAATAGGAATAGTATACGGGGTAATATGTTCATTTTAACCGCATGGACACGCCCTATCCATGAGATGGGTTTATCTTGCCATTTGTCCATGTCAGTGGTGAGTGCCTTTAGTAACGGGGTGTAGTTCAGTCGGTATAGGTTTACTGGGTCATCCGGTAATTGAATCCCTAGGTATTTAATATGACCCTGTGCTATTGGTATGTTGTGGGTCGCCCGTATCGCCGCCACATCCCCCGCAGTCATTCCTATCGGGAGGGCACTTGATTTATCCAAGTTGGCCTTGTATCCCGAGAAGGTTCCGTATTTTGTTAGAGTTTCTGTGAGGGCCGCCATCGAGTTCCCTGGCTCCGTAAGCGTCAGGAGTACGTCATCCGCGTAAGCGGAGACAAGGAACTCCTGCCCCCTGACTTTTGCCCCTTTTATGCGGGGGTTTTGCCTGATGGCCTGTAGTAGGGGCTCCAGCGTTAATGCGAATAAAAGTGGAGAGAGGGGGCATCCCTGTCTCGTACCATTACCCAGACTAAATGGTTGGGGCCATGTACCTGCTATTGTCACCTGTGCCGTTGCGTTGCTGTACATTGCTTGGAGTGCGGTCACAAATTTATCCGGGAAGTTCAGAAACTTCAGTAGATTAAAAAGGTAGGGCCATTCAACTCTGTCAAACGCCTTTTCAGCGTCAAGTGAGACTACCAGGGTGGGTGAGTTGGTTACCCGTTGTCGCCATATTAGATCAATATTTCTTCTGGTGTTTTCAAATAATTGGCGGTCTGGAATGAATCCCACCTGGTCCGGGTGTATTAATGACTTCAGCATGGGGTTAAGGCGAGCTGCTAGTATCTTTGCTAATATTTTGATGTCTTGGTTGATAAGGGAGATGGGTCTGTAGTTCGTTGGTTGTAGGGGGTCCCTGCCTGGTTTTGGGAGAAGGATAATGTTTGCTAGCGACATTTCCTTTACGGGGTTTCCGCCTTCCAGGAAATCATTAAAGAGCTGGGATAGTTTGGGTGAAAGCTCTTCTCGGTACATTTTATAATACCCCCCGTCGAATCCGTCGGGGCCCGGGGCCTTATGGCTCTGGAGTCCCGCTATGGCCTTGTCCACCTCTTCGCTGGTGATGCTTTCATTTAGGAGCTGTGCATGTTCTGTGGTTAGCTTCGGCAGGTCCAGGTCTTGGAGGAAGGTGCGCATTGCGGTCTCTGTTGTCGCTAGGCATTCCGGGTCTTTAGGAGTGTGATTGTATAATGACCTATAATATTCTGTGACTATATGGGCAATGTCAGCTGGGGTGTGTTTTATAGTTCCGTCTCTGTGCTTGAGCGCTCCAATGTGTGTACGTCTTTGTCTCGGACGCAGTACTCTAGCTAGTAGGGTGTCCGTTTTGTTTGCTTTTTCGTAGTAGGACCTCCTAGACCAGGTAATGTCCCTAGCTGCGTCGTCTAATAGGAGTTCAGTAATGGATCTCCGAACGTCTCGCAGCTGGTCAAGGAGTTGGGTTGAGGGCTCTGTCTTGTGTTTCAGTTCCGTTTTGCGCAGCGTTTCTAACAGTTGCCGGAGTCGCTTTGTTTTCTGTTTCTTTTTCTTGGTGGCCAACCGGATACACACGCCGCGTATGACCGCTTTATGTGCAGCCCATATGATCCCCGGCGACACGTCCTCCGTCTCATTTTCGAGAAAGTAGTTTCGGATTTCTTTCCTAATTTCAGCTTGAGTGGATTGGTCGCGCAGCAAAGTAGAGTTCAGCTTCCAGTTCCATGGCGAGGCGGTGCATAGGTTTCCCAGCGTTATCGAGACGTCTGCGTGGTCCGACCATGTGATAGACCCTACTGATGAGTCCACCACCCTGGCCAGCCCCGCGTCGTTTACTAGGAAGTAGTCTATCCTAGAATAAGTCCCATGGGGGGCGGAGTAGAAGGTGTACTCGACCGCGTCCGGGTGGTGTGCACGCCAAACGTCCACTAGGCCAGTAGCTTGGATGAAGTCATGAAGTGCCCTGTCTTGCCCGCCCCTACCTTGGGACCTCACGTATCCTGGTTTGGAGCTTCTGTCTGCGGCCGGACTCGGCACTGCGTTAAAATCGCCCCCTACCAGGAGTATGCCATGTGGTAGTGCCGCTATCTTAGCAGTCAGGGTTTGCCAGTACCTACTGTCTGGGGCGTTAGGAGCGTATAAGTTGAGCATGTGTACGGTGTGGGAGTGTATGGTCCCAGTCAGGATGAGGTACCTCCCCTCGGGGTCTGTGTCTGTTGCGGAAATTTGGACAGGGCATGTGTTGCGGATAAGTATGGCCACCCCATTCCTTTTCCCGTGTGATCTGGCTTCGTATGATGCGGGGAATATGGGATCACTTACTTTGAACGTTGTGTTTTTCGATGTGTGTGTCTCTTGCAGGAAGGCGATGTCTGCTCCCATCCTCTTCATTTCCTTAAACATTAAGCACCTCTTCTTGGGAGCGTTCAGACCCTTAGTATTAATGGAAACAACCTTCAATGCCATGGTCTCATTTCAGAAGTTCGCTTCGTCATTAGCATAATCCGTCCCCTCCGTCGTGCCCTCTTTACAATTGGTGTGCCCTTGGCTCCATTGCCCCCCTGGCCTGACGGGAAAGAGAAAGGTAGAGAAAAGAAAGAAAGGGTAGAGAACTGAAATAACATGTTAAAAGGTGGGTGATATCTGGTCTTACGAATCGCCAGAGGTATATGGGGTGTAACTCCCGGTATCGTCCTCCCCACCAGTGGGCAGACGATAGGTAGGTGTATAGATCCGGGTGTGACTTCACCGTATGTCAGCACTTATGTGTACTAAACCTGAGCTATAGTAAAGAGAGTTGTGAGCTAGTGTGCCCCTCTTGTCATCTGTTAAATGTAGATTTGGTTTTTATTTTTTTTTGTGTGTTTTTACACTCCGCTTTCCTCTTAGTTGTGTACCAGTAAACACATGCATGTTAAACACTTTGAACCAAAATTGAGATTGTGTACCGCTTATCTAGGTCATAGTTGTCAGCCCTAGTGTCCCGCCGGGGGGGGGGATAGTATACATGCAGCTATGGTCGCCTAGAGGTGGCATTGTGTGCTACAGTCTATCGTCTCTGGGTGCGGGAGGTAAGTCTATATTTACATTGGGGACCCTGACACAGGCTACAGTCCGGGGTGGCCTTCCTGCCCCACTGTCTAGACTCTTACCCACCCTGGTGGTGCCTCACCTTAGCTGTCCTGACCCGTCTCTGGTTGTGATACCCGCATCCAGTCGGGGAGGGGGGGAAGGTGTCCCACCACGATCCGCCCTGGTGGTGTCTCACCTTAGCTGTCTTGACCCGTTTCTGGTTGTGATACCCGCACCCAGTCGGGGAGGGGGGGAAGGTGTTCCATCACGATCCGCCCTGTCAGTGCCCATCACCGGTTTCTCGGTACCCTTGTGACGTTATTGTGGCTATCGTCATTGTGGGGCTCCCTCTCTGTCACCCCCTCGCCGCTCAGTACCTCCCGCTCCCCCGTGTCCCCCTTGTATGCTATCAGTTGGGCCGTGTCCAGTCTCCCCGGGGAGGGTGCGGATGATATACAGGTTGACCCGTAAGTGCTTGGATAACACGAGCAGCTACGGCCCCTGGGCCTGTGGGTTTCATATGAGGCACCATAAGCTCCTGTAGGGGGGGGGGCAGCTGCAATGTCCTGTCGGCCTTGCCCCAGCTGAGCGCTGAGCTGGTGGTGCGTCCTTTATGCGGCTCCCTCTGGTATGTCCGATCTAGTGTCCCCCTCCGGTCCCCATGAGGGTTGACCGCACTGTGGGTTGCCAAATATCCTCCGTGGGGGCGCCTCATTGCCATCCCATTAATTGGTGTTGCCGCTGGTTGAAGGCTTGGGCCACGTAGGGAATGTCCTCCCCCTCCCTAGCCCCTGCTTCCCCCCTCCCCAATAGCAGTGCATCCCTTCCCGGTGCGGACCTCCACAATATGGGAATAACCCATGTCCTATCCCCCCCCCGGTCGTGATAGTCCCCCCTGTCACGGCAGGGAAGTCCCGTGGGATGCGGGCTTTGCGGTAAATACCCTGAGTACCTTAAAAATCTTATTACCACATCTCTCGGTGTGTTCATATCTCCCTTTCTCGTGCGCAGGGCTCTGTGTGCCCGCTCTATGTGCCACAGGTGATTGGGCACGTCCGGTAGCAGAGGTTTTAGGATCTGGGTTACTAATTCAGTCATTGGGCCTTCCGCCGGTTTCTCTGGTAAGCCGCGTAAGCGTACATTGTTTCGGCGGGATCTATTCGCCATATCCTCGATTGCTAACTCAGCAGATACAAGGCGTTCCGTTAAGTGATTTACGTGGGTTATGGCTGTGTTGTGTGCCATAGTAGTAGTTTCTAGGCGCTGTTCCAGCCTGGCGGTGCGGTCTCCGATAGACTGAATCTCCCCTCGTAGGACGTGGGTTGAGCGCTCTATTTCTCCCGCCAAGTAGGTTTTCACCTCTGTCAGCTTGGTCAGGATTTGAGCCATATCAGGTGCTCGAGGTGCTTTCCCTGGCGTCACCGAGGGTTTCGTTGGTGAGGTGGAGGCCTCCATTTCCATGCCGCCGCCATCTTGAGGGCTCACGGCTCCTTGGCGGGAAACCGTGAAGAACTCCGTTACGGAGACCCCCGTGTCTGCAGTCTTCTTCGGGTTTTTTTTAGTGGGTCTCTTCTCCATCTTTGCCTGGTAGGTCGTCAAGTTTAGTGCGCTGTTGTATGCTTTATACGGTGTTGTCGGAACGGAGCTCTAGGCAAGCACGTCCAGCTCGCTCCGTGTCTTGGCCACGCCCCCACAAGGGAGTTTTTAAAATGGTCTGTACCTGATATTGGTGCAGGAGATGGAGCTCCCCACACCAAACCACCAGGGATTCAGTTCACCATTCAGTGAACCTCCAGGGATCCAGCTTAACCTACACTGGACCCCCAGGGAAGGTAAGCAGGAGGAGTGGGAGGGGCAAACATTACACAATTTAGCCACCACCAGGCCCGGACTGGCCATCGGGCACACCGGGCAAATGCACCGGGTCATGCATGGGAGGTTACAGGATCTCCCCTGCCGGTCTATGCAGGGCCGGCACTATCCGAGCGCCGGCCCTGCTGTTTTCAATGACGGGCTGGTGAGGAGATCAAAGATCTCCCTCACCGGCCTACCTGCATGCACATGCGGCTGGGGAGGAAGGGAGAGGACCCGGCGGAGCTCTAACTTACAGCTCCGCCGGGTTCCTCTCGTGAGATCGGGAGCGTTGCCATGGCAATGCCCCCGATCTAGCGAGAGTGAACTCTAGTCCACAGGCGAGAGTTCACTCACCACTGGACCACCAGGGATGATGTCAGAGTGCGGTCTCCCCTCTCCCAGATACCACCGTGCCGGTTCCCCCCTCCCCCTCCCAGGCTAAAGGTAAGACGGGAGGGGGGGACATAATGCCTGCTTATTTTTTATTTTTTTCCTCCCCCAAACACACAATCCCTTCTAGTATTCACCCACAGCACCCTCACACACATCACACACAGCACTCAAACTGTAAAGTAAATGTCCAGTGGCAGATTTCCAAACATGTACATGGACACCAGCTTGTGGGTTGTTCCAGGCTGCATTAACCAATGGATAAAGTGAGTGAGATATTGAACATGGACTGCTCTGAATAGTGGATTAGTTTGAGGAAATGAGATTCAAGAGTAAAAATTACTGTAGGCCAACCATTTTAGTGCACTTTAGTTCATAAGGCAATTAAGGCTCTTGCATACTTGTGCAAGTAACAGGTTTACATGGATTAGTTCTTAGACTCCACTTCTTCTCTTTTTGGAAGTAAAAAGCAGTGAGTGATGCTGTTTGTGATGCACTCTCACACACAGCACTCTCACACACATCACACACAGCACCATCACACACAGCACCCTCACACACAAATCACACACACAGCACCCTCACACATCACACATAGCATCCTCACACACATCACACACAGCATCCTCACACACATCACCCCTCAAACAAAGCATCCATCACACACACATACTGCACCCTTCACATACACACTACACCCCTCAGAGACACCCACTGCACCCCTCACACACACACACAGAACCCCAACACACTACACCAAACACACACACGCACACACAATACTTCTAAACATATTTATATATTATATATATACTATATATACACACACTACAGCACCCCTCACACACATACTGTACTCCTAAACACATTACATTCCAGACACACACTAGATCCCTCACCCAACTCTGGATCATTTACACACACTAGATCCCTCACCCAACTCTGGATCATTTACACACACTAGATCTCTTTATACACTCTGAATCCGTTATATATACACACTCACTAGATCTCCTACACATTCTGGGTCCTTCAAACACACACTAGACTCCTGTACACACAAACACACACTGCACCACCTACACACACTACATTCCTAACATACACACTCTGGATCCGTTATACACACACTAGATTCCTTGTAAACAAACACATACTACACCCCTAAACACACACTCTCAACAACCCCTACAAACACTATATCACCTATACACACACACACACTATAGCCAGTATTCACACACTTACTACATCCCCTATACACACAGTCTCTACAGCCCCTAGCCACATATGCATTACATTACACCAAAAACACAACACGACTAAAACCGACCTTATTACACAATACCACACCACAATCAGCTCACTCTACACACACACAATCCCACAAGCAGGGCTTGGCGCTACCATAAGGCGACCCAAGCGGCCGCCTTAGGGCGCACCAGCCCTGGGGGTGCAACATCAGGCTGACCGGAAGGAGGGAAGCGCACTGCGCTCTCCTCCAGCCGGTTACTATTTGTAGCGTGGCTGAGCGCAGCCCAGAGATTCCCCCCTGCGGAGCCCAGCCTCGGCCCGCCCACCTCCTACCCTCGTGTGTGCCGCAGGCTGTGTAGAGGGGGCGGGGATATGAATGACATCCTATCCCTGCTCCCTGGGTACCACACAGTGCGGCTGGCGCCCAGTGATGGGGCTGGGCTGCAGGACGGGACTCCACAGAGCCAGAGAGCATGATGTAAGTATGTAGTTATGTATGTATGCATGTCTCTGTATGTCTCTGTATTTCTCTGTATGTCTGTCTCTGTATGTATGTATGTCTATGTATGTATGCCTGTCTCTGTATGTATGTATGTCTCTGTATGTATGTCTGTCTGTATGTCTCTGTATGTATGTATGTCTCTGTATGTCTATGTATGTATGTCTCTGTATGTATGTGTGTCTGTATGTCTCTATGTCTGTCTCTGTATGTATGTCTGTATGTCTATGTATGTATGTATGTCTCTGTATGTCTCTGTATGTCTATGTGTGTATGTATGTCTATCTGTATGTCTCTGTATGTATGTATGCATGTTTCTGTATGCCTGTATGTCTCTGTATGTACATATGTATGTGTATGTATGCCTGTATGTCTTTGTATGTATGTTTCTGTATGCCTGTATATATGTATGTGTCTGTATGGCGGTATGTCTCTGTATGTATGTATGTGCCTGTATGTCTTTGTATGTATGTTTCTGTATGCCTGTAGGTTTCTGTATGCCTGTATATATGTATGCGTCTGTATGACGGTATGCCTCTGTATGTATGCATGTCTTTATATGCCTTCATGTCTCTGTATGCATGTATGTCTTTGCCTGTATGTCTCTGACTGTATGTGTCTGTATGTCTCTGTATGATTATTTTTGTGTTTGTATGACAGTGTACCTATGACTTTGACTGTGTGACTGAAAAATGATGGCTGTGGCTTGGGAGGAAATGCTTGTGGGCAGGGCCAGTGCTAGGATTTTGAGTTACACAGGTGAAGATGCATTTGTAAAAAATTTTTTAAAGGAGGGTAAGGGCGCCAAAATGCATCTTCGCCTGTGTAACTCAAAATCCTAGCACTGGCCCTGCCCACAAGCAGGCTCCAAACACATGCACAATACTCTTTCCTGGCCCTTTTGTCTCCTGGTATCCATTTATAGAGACACCGGAGACAAGATGCAAGGAGAAACAGTGCAAGCGTGTTATTAAATTTGCATGCACTGTGCAGATCAAATACAGGGCTTTTTTCTCATGCTAGAGCTCTTTAGCATAGCTCTGCGCATGGTCTGCCCTGGAAGAGCATTGAACCAACATGCTCACTTTGAGAGGGGGCGTGTTTGTCATTGGTGATGAAGAAACACACCCTCTCTGCCCTGTCCCCTTCTTAGTGGGCCGCTGTAAAAAAAAAATGCCCTGGCCGAATTTTTCTCCCAGTCCGGCCCTGGCCCCCACACACACATAGACACACTTAGCCCCTGCACATAAAGCTATTACACTCCTCCACATACATTAATCGGTGCCTACACACACTATCACACACAACAGTCAGTCAACACATAAACATAAATCGTTCACAAAAATAGAGTCAATGGCTCTAGGAAAGAGCCCCAATTTGGCACCCTGTCTAGAGCCCTGGGCAACCTTAATCCAGATCTGTCCTTCTTACTAGCAGACAGAAGCTCCTGATATGTAGCCTGGGACAAAGAAAGAGCTAGATGTAGTTAGTGTAACAGAAACAGGATATGCCGCACTGTTGGAGAGAGAAAAGTAGCAAGAGCATTTGCAAGCCACAAAAGTTTTGTTCTTCTGCATTCCTTCCAAGTTTTAACTTTAGCTTAATGAAGCATTTTGGGTGTATAGATGCTATATAAGTGAAAGTAATTATTGCATTTGTGTAAGGAGGCTGCATGCAGTATTGCAATGGTGCGGATGCTGCTTGTGGGATTGTGTGTATACAGTAAGGCTCCTGGTCAGTGGTGTATCCTGGTTTTGTGCTGCCCTAGGCAGGACAAATCTCAGGCGCACCCCCAACCTGCCTTCTAAATACACACACACACATACATTCACTGACAGATACGCATACACTCGCTAACAGAAACACACACACACTAACAGACACACTCACACTCACTAACAGACACACACTCACTGACACACACATACACACTAACAGACAAACACAGTCAGACACACACTCACTCATTAACAGACACACTCACTGACACACACACTCACAGGCAAATACACACACACACTAACAGACACACACACACACTCACAGGCAAACACACACTCACTGACACACAGTCAGACACACACATACACACTAACAGACACAGTCAGACACACACTAACAGACACACAGTCAAGACACACACTAACAGACACACACACACACTCACAGGCAAACACACACTCACTGACACACAGTCAGACACACACATACACACTAACAGACACAGTCAGACACACACAGTCAGACACACACTAACAGACACACAGTCAAGACACACACTAACAGACACACACACACACACACACACACACACTCACAGGCAAACACACACTCACTGACACACAGTAAGACACACACATACACACTAACAGACACAGTCAGACACACACAGTCAGACACACACTAACAGACACACACAGTCAAGACACACTAACAGACACACAGTCAAGACACACACTAACAGACACACACTAACAAAACACACACACATTAACAGACACACACTCACTCACATTAACACATTTTTTTTATTTACCCCCCACCTTTGGGAGTGCTGGGGGGGGAGGGAGGTTCATTACCTCCCTGGTGGTCCAGTGGTTGCCGGCTGGGCTGGGCACGCGAGGGAGCTCTTCCCCTGAGCGGTCAGCTCAGCTCCCTCGCGCGCCGCAAAGAGGAAGATGCTCCCTCCCAGCCTCAGCGGCGCGCGAGGGAGCTGAGCCAGCCAGAGGAAGTGCTCCCTCGCCAGCCGCCCGCCAGCCCAGCGCCCGGCCGGTCAGTTAGCCGCAAGGCTAACAAGGCATTTGCCTGGGCATTTGGGGGCGGCGTTTTTTGCCGCCCCCTGAAAAATGCAGCCCAAGGCAAATGCCTTGTTTGCCTCGCGGCTAATACGCCCCTGCTCCTGGTGGGTTTGCGAGTGTGGGTGGGGCTGTTTGCAGTGTAGTATGTGAGTGGGGAGACTTTGTTACAGTGTGTGTGGCGTCTGGGAGTTACTGGGGATACTGTTTGTAAGCATATTAGAAGCTCCACTGTGTGGAGGGGATATAGAGAATGCAATATGTTTTTTGTGTGTATGGATAGTGGCTGCAGTGCATGCGTGGTGGGGATAATGGCTGAAGTAGGTGCATGGAGGTACAGGAACTGTAGTAGGTGCCGGGGAGCATAAGGGACTATAGTAGGTGAAGGGGGCATAGGGACATGGTGTGTGCAAACAGGGAGATACAAAATCTCTGCTTGCAGATACCTTAAGAGATACAAAATCCAATATAGTGTAGTTATTTATTGAAAAACAAACCCACTTCACCAAATTCGAACTCTTACATTAATGTATTGTGGTACTTGTCTCCAAGAACTACGAGAAATACAGTAGTTTGGAAAATTTAACCATTCCATTCTCATGCTGTTAGGGACCAATCCGTTCGTGTGCACTGCGATGTATGTATCGCCATCCAGAAGAACACCAGTGGTGAGTGCCACTTCAAAGTCCTCCTGGGTGCTTGAATTAAAAGCTGCTTGCTTTTCAACAAGTTTTGACCGCTGCTACTGGGCTTTCTTAGGAATCACATGTCTGCATTTGCTTAAAGTGCCAGAGTCCATTGATGCATCTATTCTCACAGGCACAATTGCAGCTTGCCAGCAGTTTCAACACATTAATATTATAAAAATACATTGCATAAAATAAATAATAAAAAATCATAACTAGCAAAATAAATCACAAAAACATCATAATCAGTACAAAGATCAGTGTAGGTAGATTCACTCTATACATGTCAAAACTAAGGGTGACTAATTGACATTAGATAAAAAACAATACTATAAAAATTTTCAAAAAATATCAAGGCATACTTATATGGATAATATTATATGGATTTAATCTTATCCATATAAGGTTTTGAGATTTTTTTAAAACGTTTTTATAGTAATTTTTTGAATATTTTTATAGTGTTTTTGTATCTTGAAACTACTGTATTCCTATGCATGCTAGTGATTCACTTGTTTTATCGTTTTTAATCCATATTTCATGCTGAATAACCTTTGGACAAAATGTAATTTAAACAGAAAACTATTTTTAGATAAAGAAGTCAAAATTTACAAAGAGAAAAGCAACCAGATTTCAATTTAACAAAACATATATATATATTTTTAAATATCATTTATCGATCATGTTAGACTCGGACACTGACATTTTCACATTTTACACTGTTTATGATGCTTAAACCTTTCAATATATTTCTTACATCATCTGATTTGACTCATGTTATACAATTACGTGTTTCTTCTCTTAATACTAATTAAAGCTCATTTTTTCATTTGGTTCTCCTGCTGAGAGCATAAATTGTGTTTTAAGTGGTTGTTAAACTTACTGTAAGACACACCTCCCCTGCCTAACTCAGTTTGGAGAGCACAGACTTGCTTCCCATAACATTTTAAAACTCCCATACACTTTTTGTTGGTCTTGTGTAAAACAAAACTTATTTGTTCTCTCTATCCATTCTCAGATTGCCTGTTTAAAGGTGCTGCAATAAATCACTCTGGCTGTTCCTCTCCTTTCTCTGTGCTGTTTCTGCTGCTGGTGCTCTCACACACAGCCTGTCCCTCATTCCAACTTCTCCTTGCAGGCATTGCTTTCCCTTAGTCTGAATTCAGGTAGGAGAGATGCCCAGAGGTGGGTTTACCTGATAACAGACAGGGTTTCCCTGATGACAGATATGCAGAACACAGACTGAACTGACTGAGATGGGGTTGGGTGGGCTGTTTTTAACCTCTGATGTTAGAGAATTCTACACATTTGCCAGCAATTCTGTTGGCATAATGTATAGATGTAATTGAATTCTATATCTTAAGGATTAAGTTGCATTTATCATGACAGGTATCTTTGGTACATCCACAAATATTTGAATGACATGGTTAGCACTGGGTTTTTATAAAAATGTGATGTGTAATTGTAAAATCACCAAATACAAACCGATACAGCTATCACAGAGGATATGAGTAGAACTTTGATATTAGAAACATTTTGCTTCTGCAATACAAGACGGACAATTTAGCAATGATATTATAGATTTATATTGGGTACATTTTTGAAGTCTTATGCTAAGCTACTTTATAACATTTACAGCTATTGTTATTTCAAAAAGAATGCCTAACGAATTCTAGTACAGTCAGTTCATAGACTAAATGTTCCTCTGCAGAATTGTCAAGTTCCCAAATACCCTGAACAAGGCTGATACACAGAAAGCAATTGAAATTGCCTTCCGCATGTGGAGCAGAGTGTCCCCGCTCACCTTCCATAGCGTTCAACCACACCATGATGCAGATCTCAAAATAGGTAAGTGGGTTTGTAAATAAATATGGTGGTGCTCATGGAACAACTTGATACTCCTGGTAGGTGGATTGCTTAGGTAATTCCCTATTTTGTTTTATCGTATCTAATTTACTCAAAGTTTTTGCATGTTCCCTTAGGATGAGCAACTTGGGACAGCTATTAATGTGATTAACACTGAACTGTGCCATTTATACAATCATGCATTTTTGATAATAATAAAAAAATGATGACAGTTTTACTGTAAAAAAAATGGCATGTAAACTAAGGTCTCATCAACAAAAGAATTAGGCACCAACTTCATTCAACAGTTCCTTTCTCTGGAGTTCTTCAACTGAACATTTAATAGTGTCTAAGAGTCTTGCACTATGTTTTTTACACCTCTATTATTACTTTGTCCCACTGTTTGTATTCTACAGGAAACACACTGTAAAAGAAATCTGCTACTGTTCGCAATATTCAAAAACCTGCCACTTGCTTTGCAATCTCTAAATCCAAATAACTGACCACTGTTATACAAAAAAAATTGGGCTTTTACCCTTATAAGAAAACATACTGGCACTGAAAAGAGATTACTTCATTTAGTAGCCCATAAAACAATCAGATACATGCCAAACAGAATCAACACATTTTCCTAGAAAACAAAAACTTTCAAAAACTAGAATTAGTCCATAAAGTTGTTTGTCAAGACTTACATCCACAGGTTGATAAATAAGCTGTTTTGTCAAACCCACCTACTTGAGTTAATATCTCCCAAGAGAAACAGCTCAGATATCTATTCTTTTGTTTAAAAAAAAAGTGAAAGTAAAAAAAAAAGATTTATTCTTTTGGTATAAGATGTTCAATGCATGGATTTTAGTACGGCCCAATCAGGAAGATAATCCCTTTTATTCAACTATTTACCAAAAAATAATCATAAATATATATATATAAACAATAAGCTTTAGTTGTTTCAAATAGTATCAAAAACATAATTAGGACTTGTTACGTAGTCAAATCTTCTGTTATTCTTGTTCAAAAATGGTTTAAAACTACATAGTGAGCCTGCTTTAGGGGACTCAAGGCAACATAATCACTTTAATGAGATTAGGTGGTTATGGTGCCTAGAGTGTCTCTTTAAAAATAAATTGATGACACAAGCTTAAATATGGCTCTTTCACCTACTAGAAGTTCTTATTTCAGCAACAAATCTGTCCTGTATAGTAGAACTGCCAAATATCAAATGTAAGCAATAAAGTAATTCAACAATTTACCTAGCACTGATTGATTTTCAAACTATTAGCTCTGTTCCATGACTGATCTTCCCTCACCTAACTGTTTTGGGGTTTTTTGTATTTTTTTTCTAGCAAATTAAAATCTATTGGCATTATACAACTATTGACACTGTTGCACATAGAAGGCTTATCAACAAACTGCAAT